AATTCCGACTGAAGTAACCCGAATTCTGTTTAAGTTAAGACCAGACATGTTTGGTTAGTCTACCAAAAATCTTGTTAACTTAAACAGAATTCGGGTTACTTCAATCGGAATTTCTGGATCGTTCATATTCGACCAGATATTTGGTTAATTCAACCAAATCTTTTTGTTTCCGTGCAGATCTTATATTTAAGGCTTCCTTAAGTTTATCTTCGGATGCTCTATGGGTAATTTTATTGGCTACAGAGCATCTGAAGATGAACTTAAGGAGGCCTTAAATATAAATGCCTGACTATGAATACGGGCATTAGAGGAGCAAAACGGACCGGCGCAGCGAACTTTGTTGCAGAAGGGATCGTAAATTCTGACCGCGACGCTACCGGTTTCTAATCAAGAGGAAGATTCTAATGCCGCCGAGATGTCACGGTGAGTTTACGGTGAGATTTTAACGAGCGCTCGCGCGAAAGACGTCTTTCGACATACCGGCGGCGTTCTAACACGGCGCGCGAGACGACCTCCACGAGACGAGACAATTACTCGTGAAAAGATTTGCGCGCTCGCGCGAAATTGGCAACTAAATTGCTGAATGCGCACGCGAGGGCCGGTGCCATCACCTCGGCGACATTATCAAGTTCCACGACGACTCGACAAGTATAAATAAGAAATGGCAGGGCGTCGCGGTATGCTGACCGACCATGCGAACGACTGACTGCCCGCATATCAATAACAAACAAAACCGCGACGACGAATAGCCGCGGTGTTTTCTGTTTTTCCTTTTCTTTTTTTGCGCGCACGAGTGGATTCAACGAGGCACCGCGAAGCATTTACACCACAAAGCAACGATGAGAGCGTGGCAAGCAGCACGTCCGCGAGATCACCGAGCAATTTTATTCCGCTGTTTATCCGAGAAAGAGAGAGAAACATTTATTTGCACCCTCAGACATAGTCTCTTCAAGCGTAAAAAGCCTTATAAATATTTATATGGTTGATCTTAGCGATACAAGACCTTGCGAGAGACATACAAAATTCGCCCCGATTCCAATGCCATAGAATAACATAAAAAATGCTTAAAAATGTTCATAACAATTTTGAACAAAGACTTTATTGTATAAAGGTTGATGGACGGCATTTTGAACATTTAATAAAATAAATCTCTCTAAATTGTGAATTTTCAATTTTTCGTCCCTCAAAATTTCCAAATGCGATTTTTCAAAAAATATTTACTCAAATTTTACAAAATAAACACCGTTGTGAAGAGAATAAAAATACGTTTGAAATGATATATTATTTGACCTCCCTATTGCTATTTAAGATTTTTTGGAAGGTGGCTACCCAATTAGAGGATGAAGTGATATAGTTAAATTCATCACAATCATACAGTCTTGAAAACAATATAAACATATATCGACATTTTGTATATAGTAGATCCCCCAAGGCAATGGTGTCAATGTATCTTCCAGCTGCGAATACTATTGCCTGTGTTTTTGATGTATTTACCAATACGTAATTATTTTCAGTCCAAACATTAATCCGAGCCAGATCAACAGGGAGAGAGAGAGAGAGAGAGAGAGAGAGAGAGAGAGAGAGAGAGAGAGAGAGGGGGAGAAGAGAGAG